CACTAGATCCTAAATGCATATGCAATGAGTTAGAGCATCTAGTGGCACTTTGATAGCCATATTTCGATACGAGTTTCACCCCTCTTAATAGTACGGCTATCAAACCTAAATGTGATCACACTCGCTAAGTGTCTTGATCACCAAAACAAAAGGCTCCTACCACTTATACTTTGCCTTGAGCCTTTTATTTTTCTTTTACTTCTTTTTCAGGTCCAAGCACTTGATCATCACCATGGCAACAACATCATCATGTCATGATCTTTATTTGCTTCACCACTTGGAGTAGTGCTACCTATCTCATAATCACTTTGATAAACTCAGTTAGCACTTAGGGTTTCATCAATTCACCAAAACCAAACTAGAGCTTTAATCAGAGCATTCTAAGCCTCCTACACCTCTTTTAAAATACACTTGAGTTTATATTTTGTATTGTGCATTAAGTATAGGAGCTGAATTGATAACCATTGCTGCATGTCTTACCTTGTCTACAATATATATACCTGTATCCTTACTAGTATGTATAGATCGCTCTATGCTTAGCTATGCTTAGACCGGTAGAAGTCGTGTTTCCGTCGCTCACGAGAGACATAGGTGGCTACTCTAACATGATTGGCTATATTTGCTATCGTGGAAAAGAACTAGGTGATAATGGATAACTAGAGATCGGACGGGATCCGGTGCTATTATGGTTGTTGTTGATACCGGCTTGGCATGTATTCTTTGATCCCATCTATGTCATTTAAGGACCGCTTTGTTGTCGGACCTTGGTTGAGATTGAAGGTACCAAACACATAACAGGGGCCTGAGTTATAGTTGATCGTGAAGCCGATTAGCTCATTCGGGCTGAGTATATTGGACCGTTAGCATTGCTAGGAGGAGAGCCTGAAGGGAGGGGACTGGTCCAAGACTATGTTTGCTATGGGCTTCGGGCTTCGAGCAATTCATGTGAGAATGCAGGATCATGAGTTTTGCGAAACGGTCCAGACTCACCGTCGAAATGAAGTGGATTTGGTGACCCACACGAGCTAATGTGGGCTCGTGCACGGTGTGTGTGTTTGAGATTGCCTAGTTTGGATGTAATCGATTCAATCACCGCCTCTCCCGATAAGTGAGAAACTTAGTCATTGTTCGGCAATGTAGTAATGCGATGAAACATGATGGTTACATTGATCATGATAATTGAATATGGTTACTCTTTGTGATACCTATTAATCAAATGATTGTTACAGGATAGATGCAAACTTAGCTATAATTGGCTTCACTTTGAACTTGATGTTAAAATATTAAAAGTAAGGACTTACATAGTAAGCTCTTTTTTTGCAAAAGATTGTGCTATCTAGCTAGCTCCACCAAATAAACCATGCATATCCTTGTAGTCTTTATTTTTTCTCCCTATCGGGTAAGTCTTTACGAGTACAATTGAGTACTCGTGGTTTTATCCCACCCTATTGCAGGTGAAGTGCTATGTCTACTGAAGGTGGTGACTAAGTACCGGTGGGCTCGGCTATTCTATATTTGCTTCTCATCTATGCTTTTGTTGGAGGGTGTCATCAGAGCTAGCAATATGATTCAAAATTATGATTTGGTATTCATTTCAAAGTTATGTTGTTTTAACCTATTGGATTTGAAACTAAACTTGTATTAATTACTTGTGACCCTATTGTAATATTATTTTCACTGCAACCCTGTGTATGTGATATGTATTTGCTTAATCAAGTACGATCTTGGTTGTGAAGTTGATTTATCGAGGCCTTCATGGTACTCGACGGACTACCAGGTTTATATAAGTGATGGTATGCGCGTGTCAACGTGTTTAACGGGGACAATCATACTTAATCTTGTATAAATTAGATGGTTCTGTCATAGCGGACCATTAGCTAGCCAAGTATTAATCCATCCAAACATGCTCTATGCTGCAAGAATAACGGGAAATTGCTAGCGTGACGCTGAGTAACCGCAATTCAATCTTTCGAGCCTTTGTAGGTACCTGCGGTTAGCGACGATTTACTGACGAACACACCGATTAGGCTACATGTAGGCACTGTGAGTGATAATGCAGCAGCATCGATCAAGATAACCCATGGTGCCGCACCCTCTTTTCGCACGCGAAAACGTTAACCGGCACCCGGCACAAGCACACCACCACCATGGGTCGATGGCAACATGCACTGTGACTGATGGCGCCATGCAGCCAACCAATCCAAGAGAGGTGGTTAATGTCGATAGATCCTCCACTCCCACTCGTGCCCAGCGTGCCAATCTGTTGTAGACTAGGCCCAATCTTCCGAAAGGTATGATAGCGTCGATTGGTGGAGACTCGATGTTCACGATCTAGGCTTCGAACCAAGACCGATTCGGACTTCGCAAATCGTTACACCATTTGCTTCCCGTTGGTTATCAACCACGCGAACGCGATTGACCTCGCCGAGAAGGCTTTCCTGCAAGCGAATCGAGAACACAAGTAAGAACGGGATGAACGCAATCTGAAATTGCAAATAAATATGAGGCTTATGATAACGATAAGGAGTTCAAGTCTTTATTCGAAAGGACTAATCGCCACAGGCGAACAAGATCAAGAACTGGAGCCCTGGTTCACAGCAAGCGGCCTTAGCAGCGACAGTTGCAGCAAAACGATGTCTGTTTCACGAGAAAATCAAGAACTAAACAAAACTCAAACCCTAAGGAGATACATGGTCCAACAGACCAAAATACGGTGTCGCAGCATCCTGGCAGATTCTGGACGCTGACTTGTTTCGACGATTCCTGTTGATTTCGAATAGCTTTTGACGTGAGACCACTTGGATTGGCTTCCTTATCAAATTAGCTTTCCATCCATATGTGGATCATCGAAAACGGAGTCCGGATGCGTCTTGGGTGACCAGTTTAAGGCAGACTGGTCCTGGAGGTCGAGATGGACTCGAACTTGATTTGGGCCTCCACCTTGGTGACTCGAACTGGATGTGCTTCGGGCCTCCTTCTCACTTAGGACACCCTCGCTGATCTCCTTGGTCTCCATATGGTTCTTCAAGCATGGTCATATGTATAGAGGTCATGTCCTCATCACAATCACCGTAAACAATTGCGGAGCTTGTGCAACTGCTGCCAAATCGCCACATTCTGGGGCGAAAGTGAATGCAAGAGACGAGGCCCTTCATTCGCGGAGGGAGGGAGGGAGAGACGGATGAGGCCCTTCGCACGCAACGAAATCACCCGCGCGTACCGCCGCACGCGACGCGAGCTTGCCAGCGTGGTTGGATACACGTGGTTTATATAGTGAGTTTTAATGGGTGTTAGGGACCGCTCCGCACCACGATTTTTAGCTCCGTTCCATGTTTTTTAACCAAACGTTTTTAGCTCCACACATTCTGTTCAAGAAAAAAGGTAGAGTTGTGAGAGCACCTAAAGAAATGCTCCACAAACTTCAGTTTTTTATGGAGCTATTCCACTATGGAGTTTGTGAAGCAGAGTTTATGGAGCAGTCCCAAATACCCACCCCTAAGGAAAACGAAGCACGGGCAGAGAGACGAGGCATAGTGGCATACCGGGCAAGACAAAATGAGGCACATGACACATGCGTTGCAGTGAGGCAGAGAACGCAGGTTCACCGGACATATATGGTGTGTTTGGTTGGGTGCTTAACTTCTGGCTCCCTGGAGCCAAGATAAACTTGTTTGGTTGATTGTAATTGGCTGTAGCCTAGCTTCCTGGAGCCACTGTACGTCCCTTGGTCTGGCTTGAAAAGAACGTGAGGAGCGGCCGTTTTTCTAGGGGGGAATTCCCTGTGTGCCATTAAAAAAGATCACAATGCCCTGCATACCCCTGAAAAAGTTTAGCGGTCTCCAGCGTCATTACTCTAACTTTTTCGTGTCCTCCATGCCACTTCCGTCAGTTTGGACTCTAACACCGTCAAACTGTAGGTGTGAAAAGACGAAAATACCCTTAAGTCTAAATATGTTATTAATTTTTTAGCATCTTAACGACTTGAAATAAAAAAACTCAAAATTAGAAAGTTGTAGATCTCGTCGAGATCTATAATTTTCATATAAAAATTATTTTTATTTAATTCAAAAAAAATGATTTGATATGATTAATATATCTTAGAAAAAACATTTTTTTTAAGTGCGAATTAAATAAAAATAATTTTTATATAAAATTATAGATCTCGATTTATATCTACAACTTTCTAGTTTTGAGTTTTTTCATTTGAAGTCGTTAAGATGCTCAAAAATTAATAACATATTTAGACTTAAGGGTATTTTTGTCTTTTCACACTGTAGTTTAACGGCGTTAGAGCCCAAACTGACGAAAGTGGCATGAAGGTATATGTGTATATGCAGCCCACGGCCCGATGGCCTGGCCCGTGGCCTGGCGTTTTGGCCCGGCCGAAACACGGCCCGCCCGTGGTCACTGGTACTGTCTTGGCCCTACCGAGGCACCAGGCCGCGCACTGGGCCGCCCTCTCAGCCACGCAGACAAGACGGCACGGCACGGCCCAAGAAGCGGCCCCAGTAGTGGCCCTGACCAGCCACCTGCTAAGAGGCCCACCCCCACACCTATACCCTCCCAAACCCTAACACCCCACGCCCCACGCCCCCACACCACCACACCCACCCCGATTCCCCTCACCCCTGACAGCGGTGCAAGGCACACGCGATGTCGGCGTTGCGAGCTCGCAACCCTCCCCGCTCCCCCATCCACTGACCGGCAATTTGCCATGCCCGCACTGGCACCTCCTCAGCCAGATCCGGCCCGAGCCCCGAGCTCCGCCTTGGGAGTGAGCTTCGACACGCCGCCCCCAGCCCTGTGGACGCCGGACTGGAGTGAGCTCGGCGGCGACGGCCCCAGCGCCCGAGCTCAGCGTTCCAGCAGCCGCCCAGCCCCTAGGGACTCGTCGTGGCTCGCGAGGTCACCTCTCTCTCTCTCTTTTACTGCGGTCAAGGCTTCTCCAATCTCCATACGCCGTCGTGCCTCAAGCTCGGCAATTAGCTTCGAGCACTCCAATGGCGACAGACGGCACAACCGTGCCCTCGGCGGCGCACGCAAACAAAGCAGCCACAGTAGTGCCTTGGGCCGGAGGCCGTGCACGAGCACGCCGCCAAGAAGACAAAGACGACCGGCCCGGTGGCCCGGTGAGGCACGACACCGCATCGGGCAGGCACGGCACACCGTGCCGCCGGGCCGGGCCGGCACGGCCCGATGGCCATCTATATATGAAGGACACGAAAAAGTTAAAGTAGTGGCGCTGAAGACCACTGAACTTTTTCAAGAACACATAGGGCATTGCGATCTTTTTTAATGGCACCCAGGGAATTGTCTCTTTTTCTAGAGCCAAGCCCCGGCTAGCGCTCGTGTCTAGTCGCCTCACTTCCCGCGAAGTTTGAGCGCGCAACTCCACCGCGTTCGTGCGCCGACCATCCCTTCCCTCGGCGAGCTCCTGGTGCGTCCATCCTCGCCTGGTGCTTCCCCGGCCATCCGTGTCCGTCCTTGCCTGGTGTGTCCTCACTAGGGTCTTGCATGGCAGGGGCGGAGGGAGGCCGATGTGGCGGCGTGCCACCGGCACCAGCACGGGCGGCTCCGACCACCACCACCACCAGACCCGTGGCGGTTCGCACTGCGCTAAGGAAGAAAGACCCCGTCTGCTCCAGCTACGCCCACTGCGTCCGAGCCTCGCACGGCGGCGGCCCTGCTGTGCCAGATCCTATCTGCTCCCGTTGTGCGGCGGCGGTCTCGCGCCGTCGCGCGCCGAGGGCCCAGCAGAGGTGCTGTGTCGCTGGCCATGGCGAGGGGGCAGGGGAGGAGCAGAGTTGCTCGGTCCTTCTCATTCCTTCCCATGTACGCCCACCACTTGTTCGACATAATGTATGAAAGGCAAACAACTAGGAATTAGCTCGCTGAGAACAGACCAAAGCTGTCCAGGCTTCAAGCAAGCCTGGTTAGAAATAGGCCAGAAACCAAACACATGTTTGGTCTATAGGAACATACCGAGCCGGGCTGCCCTACATGCCTGTTTGCTTGATGCCCTCTCAGGCATAGTAGCACCAGCCAGATATGCATCGTGGTCCTGCATGTCCAAAACCAGACGCGAGCAGCTCTGGAGCCAGACAAAGATGCCTGAAGTTAACTAAAACAAACATGCTACATGCATGCAACCAATGGCGCTGCGCGGATAAGCCACACCACACGGCCGTATCACGTGGTTTGTATTTGTCGGGCCACCGTTGGGATAATCGCATCACTTGGCCTCCCTGTCCAACTACTCCTGGAATCATCATAGTTTTGTCACGCATCCTGCCACGACAAAGAGCGCGTCGTGGTAGGCGCCGTGCCGGCCGAGGATCTGCCCGGCGACGTGAGCAGCAAGGGCTACGGCGGCAAGCAGCTGCTGCTGCCAGCGCCGCCGAAGCAGCAGCAGCAACCTGATGTGGAGGCCGAGAGCGGGTGGTACCAGGAGGAGATCGACGACGACCTCAAGCTGTGCTACGCTCTTAACAGGTGAAGCTTGACAGTTTCACACGCACGCAAACGTGATTCGATTCGTTTTTGCCTTGAATGGAGAGGTAGGCAAACCTGATTGATTTTGCTGCCGCAGCGTGCTGCACCGAGGGGCGAGCAAGTACCAGGAGATCGTGCTCCTCGACACGAAGCATTTTGGCAAGGTATGTTGCAGTTCAGTTAGATCGTGCGTGTGTGTGTGCGCGCGCGCGGGCGCAGCCACGTTTAACAACGTTGTCGGTAGCATTTCAGGCTTTGATAATCGATGGGAAGATGCAGAGCACGGAGATGGACGAGTTCATCTACCACGAGTCCTTGATACACCCACCTTTGCTCTTCCATCCAAAGTAAGCATGCGGTACCACCACTACCACTCACTCACTCACTCAGATAGGTAGTGATTCTTTTAACAGATTGTCAGTCAGGTAATTTTTGCTTGCGCTTCTATATTTTTCACCATTTGAAAGTTCAAATCAAGCATCAAATTTCTGCACTAGTAATAATTCTTGGCCGTGCAACTTTTAACTTCGGAAAGCGATTTCAATTTGCAGGACTGATCACTCTTTGTATTCCGATAGACCAGCATTTTGGACAACAACTGATTAACATCATGCGCTGATCCTTTGCCGCTGTCTCTTCAGCCCGGAGACAGTGTTCATCATGGGAGGCGGCGAGGGCTCTGCGGCAAGGGAGGTCCTGAGGCACAAGACCGTTCAAAGGGTGGTCATGTGCGACATAGATCAGGTACACAACCGAATCACAGGTCACGACATGTTGTGGGGAACAAAGTAAACACGCCGTTTATTTTGGAATTACCTCATGGTGTGGCGTATCCGCATATGCTTGATCAGGAGGTAGTGGACTTCTGCCGAACGTACCTGACGGTGAACCGCCAAGCGTTCAGCAGCGAAAAGCTCTGCCTCATCATCAATGACGCCAGGTGTGTATGTATCTCATTTTCCGTTTGCAGCTTGTTAATTGCTTATCTGAAAGAAGAAAGATGTGAGAATTTGCAGATTTGTTCCTAAAGATGATATTGGACAGGTATCACAACAGTTTGTATTAAGCCTAGCATAAAATCTGCATTATGCATGCAGGGCTGAGCTGGAGAAGAGCAAGGAGAAGTTTGACGTGATAGTAGGAGACCTGGCAGATCCAGTGGAAGGAGGCCCCTGCTATCAGCTGTACACCAAATCGTTCTACGGGCTTATCGTAAAGCCCAAGCTTAATGGCCAGGGCATCTTCGTCACCCAGGTATAAGTATAATCCACATTCCCCTAATCACAACAGTTTCGAGCTTCAACATGTCAGTCTGCTAATGGAAAATTGTTGATCATTTGCACAATCCCAATAGGCTGGACCTGCTGGTGTTCTCACTCACAAACAAGTCTTCTCATCGATTTACAACACCCTTAGGCATGTCTTCAAATGTGAGTGTTCTTGTTTTTCAGATGAAGGAGTGACGTCAATTGTCGACCTTATTTCTTCAGCACCTACTGTTAACGGGATGATAAGGACCATATGTCATCTTTTTAAGCCTGTAACCGTTTGCCAATTACTTTGTGCCGCAGATGTTCGAGCTTACACTGCCCATGTTCCATCTTTCTCAGACACCTGGGGTTGGGTCATGGTAATCTCGCACTGTCATGAACTTACTGTGTGCTGTTTCGTTTCGACATTCCAGTTTCATGCATTGTGGCTCACCATAGCATTTCAGGCCTCGGACCATCCATTCGATCTCACTGCTCAGCAGATCAACGAAAGAATCAGAGACAGGGTCGAGGGAGAGCTCGCCTACCTGAGCGGGGAGTTCTTCATTTCCTCCACCACATTGAACAAGAGCGTTCATCAGTCGTAAGTAGCGTACATATGTTCAGTTAATTAGGCACCGAATTGGCTATTACACCTGTGCGCAGTGTGCACTGTCAATGTGTAATGTGCTCTCCTGATTTGCATTGTTGATACAGGCTGCTGAATGAGACCCATGTATACACCGAGGATGATGCCAGGTTCATCTACGGGCATGGAAGGGCATGTCGCGCTGTCAGTTCATAGCTAGTGGCTGCTAGTTGCAAGCCAGCTCATTATCTAAAATAAGTTGCAAGCCAGCTACTCTATCCGTCCCTAAAAAACTTATATGTTTTAGTTTTGTCTAAGTCAAACTATCTAAAGTCTGATCAATCTATACATTAGAATACTAATTTTTATATTACCGAATAAGAATCATTAGATTTGTGTTTGTCATAGACATATTTCTATAGTATACCTATTCGATGTCATAAATGTTAGCAAATTTCTTTCTAAATTTGATTAAAGTAAAAATAATTTGACTTAGAACAAAACTAAAACATTAAGTTTTTTAGGACGGTGGGAGTAGGAAAGAGATGATAAATATAGACTAATTGTGACAAAAAGCTGTCCGCGTTACCGTTATCCATTCCTACCCCTACCAGATTTTCTTTAGAAATAAATACCGCTACGAGAAATCTGATACTGAAAACTAAACAAAAAATGCAACCAGCAGCACAAGTTCAGGGAGATTGGACTACACAGTACCATACATTACACTTCTTTCAAATATTTTTCACTAAAAGATAAGTCTATGCATAATTCGAATGCTGGTTATATTCTCTTTGTTGCACGATTTGCTGTTTGATTTCTCTAAGTGCCAAACTTATAGTGGCAAATGACGGCCTGTTTGAAGGTTCTGCATCCCACGTCCGGCAGATGAGATCAGTGAGGCCAGTAGGACATGCATCACGTTCTGGGAGTTTTGGCCTTAATGTTCCATTTGCAACGTTCAGCGCAATCTGTGAAACAACATTACAAACTTATTAGCATGTCAGCTACTTACTTATGAACAAAGTATCAGCCGGTATAGCACAACTTTTCAATCAAGAAAGTTGAGAATGCAGCTAGGCTCTGCCAAGTAAAATTCAAGCATCATGTCATGAATGCTGAACAATTTATAGGCACTGTCTCCATGTTCTACAGGAGTACAGATGATCTGTAGGTAGGATGTGAATTCACCTTGCTAGGTCCATAGCTTGTTTCAATGTATGGATGCTCTGCAGTTATCAGCTCATTCAGCATGATGCCGAAGCTGTAGACGTCGCATTTCTCCGTGTACGGTTCACAGCGAATCACCTCAGGAGCCATGTACACATAGGTCCCTAACAAAAATGTTGAAAAACTTTGGGAGAAAAAATTAGTAAGAACTCGGGCTTCGCACATGCATGTTTGTGCACTGTGATCTCGTACCCGTCTCGCCGGTGAGCGCCTCCTTCCCGTCCGGCAAGTACCTGGCGTGGCCAAAGTCCGTGACCCGCGCGCGCAGGTCAGCATCCAAGAGCACGTTGCTGGGCTTGAGGTCGCGGTGCACGACCCTGGGCGTCTGCTCGTGGAGGTGCCACATGGCCAGCGCGATCTCCAACGCCCTGCTCACCCTGTCCACCAGCGGCGGCGGCGGCGGTGACGAAGACGCCCGCGGGCGGCGCTCCCGTCCCCCGTGCAGCCACTCCCCCAGCGTGGCCCCGCTCAGCAGCTCGGTCACCAGGAAGCAGCTGTCGGGCGGGCGCAGGCACGCGCCCAGCAGGCGCAGCATGTGCGGGTGCCGCTGGCGCGACAGCACGTCGGCCTCCTGCGCGAAGAAGGCCTCGCCGCTGGGGTTGGAGCGGAAGAACTCCGGGCGCAACCACTTCACCGCCACGTCCAGCCCCCGCCATGTCGCCCGGTGGATGTCCGCCGTCGTGCCCCGGCCTATCACCTCGTGCAGCTCGATCTGTTCCATCCATGGCCGGAGCACGCACTGGTCAGTCACAATGGTTTGCTTGCTGCGAGTTAGTTGGTGATTGGTCGCTAGTTACCTCGTCCGGCGCCACGGACCAGCCGTGCTGCACCGCTAGGTCGCGCGTGGCGGCCAGGTACGGATCGTCGCAGGGCGGCGCCTCCGCTGGGTAGTCTTCGTCCGCGTCGTCGGTGTCGACATTCGTCGCGGGCTCGGCTTCGGCGTCGCCGTGCGGCAACTGCTGCGGCGCGCCGTCGGATATGAGGTGCAGGAAGCCGTGCTCCTGGGCGACCTCGAGGCAGAACCTGAGGTACTCCTGCGTGCTCTCCAACCGGGCCTTGTACGTCTCCTTGAGATCCCTCTGCCTCTCGAGCTCCTCCATCAGCTTCGCGACCTGCTTGGCAATGCATCACAGCGCACCTTGTGTTGTCTGTGATTCGAAACCACAGCACGAAACAACTGCGAAACTACATACAGATCATTTCATCAGGCCCTGATTGATGCCGGATGCGTGCGTGCCGTACCTGCTCGCTGGAACGGTGGTTCTGTGAGGGCGGCGTGGAGAAGAACCCGGAGAGGCGGCCGCGGAGGCCGCGGTGCTGATCTTCCCCGCTCATCGGTGTCGCTGGCATGAGCGATCGGAGTTCAAAGTTCAAACCGTGTTATCTGTTGTCTGTTGAGCCGGTTGAGTGTTCCCAGCACAGGCTTAACAAACAGATAAGGGATCGAGTTGGCAATAGCATGCCAATTCTTTAGTGAAGCTCTTTCTGCAGGAACAAAGCAATTCGCGTAGCATAGCACGTCGCGGCGGCCAGCCGACCAATGGATGGGCAAACGGACAAGAGCCGCGGCGATTCCACCAATGCCGTTTGGTTGACATATTTGGCAGGTTTCAGGCGACTGCGTCGGCTGCTTCATCGGTCGCTCTCAAGTGTTCTTTCGTAGTGCCGGCTTGTAACTTTGGGTTGCTTCCCTTGTTGGCGTAATCCTTGGATTACTGTTTAAATTTGTAATTTAATAACTCTACTTCCTCTTAATGAAATACGTACCTCTTGGTACGATCGAGAAAAAATTAAATGGATCCAAAGATAAAAATTTGTATCAAGAATATGGTATTCTGGTCCTCAACCCTCTGTCTCTGTTTTTTTATCAAAAAAATATTAAGATTCTTTTTTAACTTAGGGTCATCCAAAATAAGCAAATGAAAAATAACAATTGAACTACTCTCCGTTCCTAATTAGTCAGGGATAAGGTGGTCTTTTATCAGACATTTCATTTTGTCTGGCGCTTTGATCTCTTATACTCCTTCCATCAAGAAATGATAGTCGTATTTGGCTAGAAGCCTAGAAGAAATGTCAAAGTTTACAAATTTTGATCAACAATTAGTCAAATTATATACAAGTTTAGAGCATAAAACTTAGATCAATAGATTTGTATTCAAAATAACTCTGAGATAATATTATTTTTTAATAATTAATTTTTTTAGCAACAATAATTAACTATAGTATATATAAAGAGAAATCGAGGTTCTACATGAGGGATGCTTGTGTTCTGCTCCTAATTGCTACTCGTGGACCTGCCACCTCGGCTGGAATGACTTTGGTCGACGGTGACCATTGGGCTGAGTTCTTGAGTTGGGCCGGACCACTGGATCGAAAATCAAGTTCCCCTGGTTTTCTACGTCGAGAACACAGGTTGTGCGTACTTCGTTTAAGAAATCTGTTATCTGTTGTTACTACTTAAAAACCACGTAGACCTTTCGTCCAAAAAAATTTGGTGTACGTGCCTCCGAGTATATTGCCGTGGTTACGTCAAATTCCTAGAAACTTCCAAGTATATCCGTATCCCGAACTGCAGTCCAAACCAGCCCAACCTTCCTCGGCTCCCTACCAAAAAAGCTGGCCGTCAAATTCCGAGTAGTATATCCGTATCCGTATCGAACTGCAGGACCAACCTTCCTCGGCTCCCTACCAAAAACCTGGCCGCGCGTGTAGATGAGATTATGTCTGTTGTTGATACAAAAAATGGTGATACGTTCTCTGTGGATGGACCTGGTGCAACCGGGAAGACTTATCTGTACAAGGCTCTGCTTGCTACTATACGTAGCTAAAATAAGATTGTCGTGGCAACAACTACATCTGGTGTTGCAGCCTCGATAGTGCCTGATGGCAGAACCTCCCACTCGCACTTCAAGATTCCCCTCAACATCGACAATGGGTCCTTTTGCAGCTTCACAAAACAGAGTGGTACTGCCAAGTTGCTTCAAATTGCATCCCTAATTATTTGGGATGAGGCTACCATGATAAAGAGGCAGGGTATTGAGGCCAATAATGATGATGATGTCCATCTTCCTTGTGATATATGCTTACCGTACAACGCGAAAGATGGCGATCTTGATACGCTGATTGAATGCATATTCCCTAGGCTCAATGAAAATATGCAAAACAAAGACTACATTACCTCTCGAGCGATATTGTCTACGCGGAACGAATGGGTCGACATGATTAACATGAAGATGATAGACCATTTTCAAGGGGATCAGATGGTGTACCATAGCTTTGACTGTGCGATGAACGATCCACACAACTACTACCCTCAGAAATTTCTTAACACTTTGACACCAAAATGGTCTACCGCCACATGTGCTAAAACTGAAGATTGGCTGCCTAGTCATATTGCTTAGAAACATTGACCCTGCGAACGGACTTTGCAATGGTACCAGGCTTATCATTTGGGGTTCCAAAAGAATACTATAGACGTAGAAATTGTGTTGGGACAGCATGCTGGAAAGCGAGTTTTTCTGCCTCGCATACCCTTATGTCCGTCTGACGATGAGATGTTTCCTTTCCAATTTAAGTGTAAGTAGTTTCCCATTCGACTCAGCTTCGCCATGACTGTTAACAAGGCACAGGGAACAGACTATCCCTAATGTCGGGGTGTACCTATCAGAACCAGTGTTCTCGCATGGGCAGTTATACGTAGCGATATCAAGAGCCACGACAAGATCGAATATTAGGACCTTGGTCATTGCTGGCTATTGAGAAGGATGTCTGACTCGCATACCCTTATGCCCGTCTGACGACGAGATGTTCCCTTTCCAATTTAAACGTAAGCAGTTTCCCATTCGGCTCAACGTCGCCATGACGGTTAACAAGGCACATGGGCAGACTATCTCTAACGTCGGGGTATACCTATCAGAACTAGTGTTCTCGCCTGGACAATTATACGTAGCAATATCAAGAGCTACAACAAGATCGAATATTAGGAC